CATGCACTTACGCACGCTGTGATCATGAAAGGCCGCGGCGAACGCCCGTGCGTAGCCAACGACTATATGCCGCCTCTCGGCCAAATTAACTTATTAACCGACAACTACCGAACAACTCAACATGATCATTATACTGAAACAATTTAAGACTTAATCACACGGACAAACAGGATTATTACTGAAGGCAACAACTCTCAGCCCGAAGCCACCCGAGGCCACGCGCGATAGGCGCGGGCGTCGGCTGGGCCATTTCATCGACAAATTTCATCTTTACTCAACAAGCTGGTCATACTGAACATAAATCTAGTTATACTGAACATTTAAATGATCATGGTTCGAGAGTTGCCGGAAGAAATCGAAACATGTTCGGTGATAAACTTAGTTAAACATGTTCGTCTATATGCACGGTTTTGATTGAAATTCCCGAACATAATCTAAACAATAAACCCTGAAATGATCTTACTAATATGATTATGAACTAAGGAGGGATTTACCTCACTGATTGCTCGAATAAGTTCGGAAAATAGGCGTGCTTATGGCCTTGTGCTCGCCGTGCGATGGTGCTTGACTTTGCCGTGCGATTGCGATGGAAATTTGGGAGAATTTGCTTGACTTGGTTGCTTATTAAAGGAATTTCTTGCTGCTGATGATATAGGGAATATAGCTGCTCAAAGTACCTTATGGAAAATGATGGAAATTTGGCTCAAAACTCTTCCTTTTATTCTCGCCGGGAGGGAAATGGAGATGACAAGGTTGTGGCGTGGCCCTCCTCTTCTTCTTACACTTGCTAATACCTCCTAACTCATTAGATGACTAAGCATCTCTTTTGCTTGACAAGTGATCAATTTTGATTGGTTGGAAACCTTTCCTAAGGCTTAAGAAAGGCTCACGGCATTTAGCTCAATTTTTGGGAAAATTCTCATTAACCTCACGGCATTTAGGCTTAATTCAACTAATTGTGATTAATTAACATTAATCACTCTTAGTTTATGTTTAATTATTTAATTAAACACAATACTTAATTACAAAATTATTCCGAACGTAACCGGTACGCCGAAAATAAATTTCGGTAATCTCGACTGAACATATTTAATTCCGAAAATAATAATCGATAACATTATTATATCGGAATTAAAACGTAATTTATACTGATAACATATCGGGATATTACAATCCTCCCTCCTTACAAAATTTCCGTCCTCGAAAATTCAAAACATGACTACTATACATGAACTATGTACATAGGATAACAGAATATGTATATCAAAACTGGAAATCTGGAAA